CTGGCTGGTCCTGTATTATAACACTAAAATAGGAGCTGCTTCCAGACCTATGCTACAGCATAGCCATATGACTTTTCTTCCTTAGTGTTCACCAAGAGAACAGGTATAGGGACACATACTGGTTAAATTCTCAGCAAATCCCTGGCCAGTGAGGATTTCCTTCAGCCCTTCCTCCATGCAGATTCTCTATCCAATGCTTCAGATCATCTGGGGTAGGGTGGGGTTAGGGTTAAGATTAGGGTACGGTTAGGGTAAGGGTAGACATTTTGCAGGGCAGTTCAGGTTCTGGGTATCCTGTCTCCTGTATCAGATTATAGTGGCTCAAATCCTGACTCTAGAAGCCAGCTTCTCCCTAAAGCAGGGGGCTGGGGCGCTAGCTGAAGAGCTTGGCCTGTGGCTCACACAGGATACCCAGATCTAGTTCCTGCTTCCCAGCTCTGCCAGGGATATTGTGGACATTTGGTAATGGAACCATAGCATTGGAACTTTCACTGTGCGTGCCTGTTTGCCTGTCTGCCTCTCAAAAGAAAGAAATAAGCACATTATCAAATCACCTGTATTAACTAACAAAAAGGTCTTTGCTGGATGGGTAGAATAACTATTACAGCAGGGTAAATATGATTGACAAGAATTTAATGTTTCTACTTTATTTGGTACTCATTTCTAAGGAATGCATTAATACATGAGATTCTCAGGGTCACAGCAAAAGCCATGATAATTACTACAACCCAACTCTCATGCTAATGAGGCATTAATGCAAAGAGGGCAGATTCAGCACAGTCCATAGATACAATTCTAACAATATGATGCTTCCCTCCCTCCTTAATTTTTGAGAGAGTTTCATATTTCAAAGTCAGGCAAACAGATGTTCACGGTTGCCACAAAGACACAGGAGAGGTCTCCTGTGACACACGTCAGTCACAGTATGCACATGTACTGAAATGTCACACAATACCCCACAAACACAGATTATGTCAATTGGATACATACAGACTTCTCTTTCTGCCACTGCCACATAAATACAAGATGCTTGCTAGACCACTTCAGAGGTCAGCATCACACCTGACTGGGATTACCGATCTCGTATAATACACTCTAAGCCAAGCAGGTCTTCAACTTGCTAAATTCCCATATGAAAATATTTTAATGTATTCCGACCCTTACACCCTGTGAAATAATTTTTGAAAAACAAGTAAAAACTTAACTCCTGATGTTAACAGAAGAACAAAAATGCACACATGCCTCATAATCATGATAGAATCTCTTCCACATAGCACACTTCTTCAATGTCTTTAGCAGAAATGTATACTTAGGCACATCCATCATTTCTCAGAACATGTACTGGGGTGGGGAAAGGATGATGAGAGGTTTTATACGCAAATACCAGTTCACAGTAATTATTTTGGCAGAATATTTGATACATTGTCATTTCAACCAAACCCTCCATTTATCACGATCTACCACAAACAGGGGCAGAATCAAGCTAGGACAGTAGGGGAACACAAAGATTTCACAAAATCTAGGAAATCTTTATGATGAAACACCAGGAGCAGGAGCCAGCGTTGGGGCACAGCAGGTAAAGCCACTGCCAGTGATGCCATCATCCATGTGGGTGCTGGTTTGAGTCCCTGCTGTAGTCCTTGTGATCACATGCTCTGGTAATGGCCTGAGAAAAGCCGTGGGAGACGGTCCTAATGTCTGGGCCCCTGGCAATGCCGTGGAAAATCTAGCCCTGGCCATTGCAGTCATCTGGGGAGTGAACCAGAAGATGGAAGATGTCCCTGTCTCTCCTTCTGACTTTCAAGATAAACCTTTAAGCCCACACACACGTGTACACACACAAACACACCCCTACCTGTGTAACAGGCACATGTTCATCTCCCATCAGGCCTGTCTGACCCCACAAACCTACCAGTGCAATAGATAGCTAAATCACAGCATGCTTCAAATGATAAAACAAACAAACAAACAAATCCCATATATTTCATTTAGATGGTACAAGGGCACCCAAGATGCTCTTTCTCTGAACTCTACAGTGGAAAGAAGGGAAGGTGAAAAGGGCAAACATACAAGCCCCCTCAATGACAGAGGAAACCAAACCAAAACAAAACCTACTCTCAACTGAAAAATCCATGATGGAGGCAGACAAGGTCGTACCCAACATGAGTCTTCCATTTGTTTAAGCATTCCTCTTATGCAGTGAATGAGGGAAATGTTAATGGTACTTATTTTTTTTTTAAGTCTTTTGTGGGCCTGAAGCCTCTTTTTTTTTTGAAGATTTATTTTATTATTTTTATTGGAGAGACAGAGAGGAAGAACTACCATCCAATGATTCACTCCCCAGGCGGCCGCAACGGCTGAAGTCGAGTCGATCCGAAGCCAGGAGCCTCTTCCGGGTCTCCCACGCGGGCGCAGGGTCCCAAAGCTTTGGGCCGTCCTGGACTGCTTTCCCAGGCCACAGGCAGGGAGCTGGATGGGAAGTGGGGCTGCCGGGATTAGAATCAGCGCCCATATGGGATCCCAGGCGTGCAAGGCGAGGACCTTAACCACTGCGCCATCGTGCCGGGCCCAATGGTGCTTTTTTTTTTAACTAATATAAGAGCATAGCATTTCCTCAGTATACAAACAGAGAAGATAGTAAATATAGAAACAAACCATAACTATAATTTAAGGAGGAGAGCTGGTAGAACAGAAACAAGAAAAAAATAGGCACGTTTTAAAATACCTTCAGACATGTACAACAAAAACAAGAAATAAGGAAGAAATCAGGAATTACTGAGTGAGGGGACAGCATACGACCACATACTTTGATAAAAAAAACCCGCAGGACCCTAAGTGGAAGGCAGTGTAGTGGCATCTTTAACAGGAACCTGAATGGCTAAAACAGAACACCTATCCCCAAGATGCAATTTAGTGTCTAGAAGAGATGGGGCCTTATGTAACTTTGGGAAGGACATATTGGACTTTACCTAGTGGAACTTGCAGTGTATTTACCAATACAACTGTTAACGTCCGCCCCTGCAGCTGATCACCGAAAAAACTGTACTGTGATGACTGCAACACTTTCACCTCAAAAACAGTAAGGGAGGGCCCGGTACAATGGCGTAGTGGTTAAAGTCCTTGCCTTCCATGCCCAGGATCCCATTTGGGCGCTGATTCTAATCCCAGCAGCTCCACTTCCCATCCAGCTCCCTGCCTGTGGCCCGGGAAGGCAGTGGAGGACGGCCCAAAGCTTTGGGACCCTGCACCCTCGTGTGGAAGACCCGGAAGAGGCTCCTGGCTTCGGATCGGCATAGCATTGGCCATTGCGCTCACTTGCGGAGTGAATCATCAGACGGAAGATCTTCCTCTCTGTATATCCACCTTTCCAATAAAAATAAAATAAATCTTATAAAAAAAACCAGTAAGGGAAATAGTATTTAGAATGTCACAACATATATGCACAGATAGCCTACTGGCAAAGGACAATGCAGCAGGGCAACCCAGAGAAAACAGCCAGAAGTGTGTGTCTCTAAGCTAACACTGAGGCTCCGTGCACACCAGACACCTGGGGCGAAGGCCACAAACAACAGGGCTCCGCACTCCTCTCGGCCCTGAAGCACCTCCATGCAGGCCAGCTTCATGCCTGGAGCCCAATGAATGGGACCTAGTAGGACTCTCCAACTTGGGATGTGCACTGACTGGCTAGAGAGCAAGAAGACCTCACCAGAGTCCTAGTGCTTAAAATGAAGAGAGCACCACGGCATCTAGGCAAGGGGGAGCTGCTAGACACACTTGAAATAACCCATCACTAGACACCACCGCAAGGTTCAGCCAGGCCTCCAACACACCCTCACTGCAAGATAATGCACTCCAATTCATCATCTTCAGGATAGGCTGAGCTCAAGAAGCCTTTGTTTATACTCGCATCATCCTCAGACAGGCAAATTCCCTGAGTGTCCAAGATAAGATTCACCCTCCCTTCCTCTTTCAGCACAGCGGGTTGTGCGGCACTGTGAAACACAGCAGCCACCCGTGACCTTCCTTACCAGGCAACTTATCTCAGCAGGGTGCCTTCCCTGACCACCTAATCAACATCCAACGCCTAACCAGCAGCCTCATGGGAGCTGCTGCCTGTCTCTTTTCCCCACTCAGTTTTCTCCATTGTTATATTCTCAATGCCTAAAACAGTTCCTGGCACTTGGTTAAGTACTTATTAACACACGCAGAATAAATAAGCTCATTCAGCAAAGTGATCCACTAGGCCAATAGATCCACTTTCCAATAGAGCCTTTTAGGAGCTCAAAACTATTAGCATCATCAATTCTTCTGGTATTTTCTGTTATCTCAGAATATGTTCACACATTCCTTCATTCTCTCCCAATCAAAAACAAGCAAGCAGAAGAAAAACAACCCTTTAGGAAATCATGATCAATTTGTATAGACTTTAGGAAAGGCATTAGACTTTCTATCACTCTGATGTTCTGTTCATACTGAAAACAGATTTAAAAACAGGTAATTCTGGGCCCGGTGCAGTGGCCTAGAAAAGCAGTCGGGAATGGCCCAAAGCCTTGGGACCCTGCACCCACGTGGGGAGACTCAGAAGAGCTCCTGGCTCCTGACTGACACAGCACTGGCCGTTGCAGTCACTTGGGGAGTGAATCATGGGACAGAAGCTGCTCTTCTCTGTCTCTCCTCCTCTCTGTATATCTGACTTTCCAATGAATAAATAAATCTTAAAAAAAGGTAATTCTGTGCAGAAATAATCTAAGATCATAAAAATTAATAATGGAAAAGCAACTCAGAGATAGTTTAGGGGAAGAAAAAAAAACCAGAATGAACTTTTGAACTCTGCTTTTCCCAAATATAAAACAGGATAGATGCATTAGGAGAAGCCATGGAAAAATTCACATTCAGTGCCTGAAAAGCAGCAAGATTCAGAAAATCCACGTGTCCCACCTGCCCCCCTTCAGAGAGTAAGCAAGCAGACCCGTGCAAGGCGTGTGAATCGCACTACTCACCCCGGATATGTCTGCCACACGGTGGATAGGCACTTCCTTCTTGCTATGCAATCCTTTGCCGTTCTTAATAGCTCTGGAAAGCAAGAGGAAAGAAACTAATCAAAAGAAATGCACTACACCAAGAGACAGAAAGGTGGGAAAATGAGGGGAAAAGCAGCAGTGCTGGTGAGGGAGTCCTCACATCAGCCACGGTGTCCACAGTGCAGGAGCCAGACGAACCAAAGGGGGACTGAACGCAGAGCTGCAACTCCGCCACGCCCAGGGACCAGCACCGCTGCCAGCAGACCTGGGCATCAGAGAGCTTTCTTCCCTAGTTTCCAAAGAAAAGGCATTGTACCAGGCACAAAAGAAGAATCAGTTGGAAGAGCACAACCCTAAGAAACAGAAGTAATAATGTTTCTTTCAGCTTTTAATCACATGAAGCATTTCAAATGCAAAATATGTAGCTAGTGTTCCAATTCAGATGGAAATAAGTTCCTCTCAGGTAAAAAGATAAGTTGCACTGAATGAAGCAATATTGCATAGAGAAGTCATTTAACAGAACACTACAGAACCAGCATTAAGCCTCATTTTCAGTCAGTCTCAGGTAGCAATACCTGGGATTTACCAGAGGGCTCTGAGAAGCTGCCACACATCTGACCAGAGGCCGAGTTCCTAGATCTCCCATCTCGCATCTCCTAATGCTTTGAGTGGCACCTTCGGAGGCAGAAACCTGAGCACCACTGGGTTGTGATCCAGAACTGCTATCAAGAGCTTCAGCTTTAGGAATTGCAAATAGGTCCCGACACTTCCCATTGGTGTAGCCATTAGTCATCTGCGGGTCCTACCTTGGGCCATGAGGGAGCACTAACAACCCCAGGTGTGCCAAGGTGGGTTGTCATTGGCACAGTAACAGCAGAGGACTAGGGGCTAGAGTATTGGAGGCTGAAGCAGGACCTAGTCCTCTGGGCTCAAGTCTCTTACCAGCAGGCATGGCAGGATTAGGAATCTCCTGCAGACCACAACCTGTGGGAGCTCACCTCCCTCCAGGGGAAGTCCCTCGGTGGAGACTAGTCCCCCCAAGGGCAATCAAAACAAAGGGATCTGTCCTATGAGCACACACAGGTCCGTGCCAGCACTGATGAGCACACAGCGCTCCCTGGGGCTCAGGAACACTTCAAACTCCTGGAGGAGAGGGCCTGAGCAGGAAGTGAGAAGGCCAAGGCTGCAGGGGGTAGATAAATTCTACTTTGCTTCAAGCCATTTCATGCCACAACCTGAAACCCAGGTTTTAGCCAACATGGAACATGATACTGAGGCAGGTTGAGGATGATAGCCAAAGCTGAAAAACACGAAAAACGTGAAGAACATTATCACATAACATTTAAATTGACACAACTTTCCAAGACGAAGTCAATCTTAAGGGGAAAAAACCCAAAAGAACAAGAACCTTGATTTATGCTCTACCTGGTTCCTCTAAAGCATAGCGCGAAGTTATTCACACTCAGGCATTCCTTCTGGAAACGCCTTCCTCAAAGGCTTAATCTTTTTCACACTTCAACGTATCGGTTGTTAAATTAGATCAATTTCTGGCACACTTAAAAGGCAGCATGAAAGCAGCATTGTACCATCACATAGAAACTGAGAACCAGTTCTTACTTTGTTGATTTTTACAAGAGAGAATCAAAATTAAAGAGTAGCTAGTTAATCATGAAGTTGCAATGACCCCCAGTTAGGAAGCCCCGCAGGCCAAGGCGCTCACCAGAGCAGCTACCAAGCGGTGCGAGGGGCAGCCAGAGAGCCAGCCCAGTGGGCTACGATCGGCGCACGGCCTTCCGCCCGCTGAGCTCTAGGGTGCTTGAACTCATGCTGCTGTGGACGTAATCGGGTAACCCACCTCCAGGAAGCCTCTGACCACCTGACACGAGGCTGATGTCACAGCAAGAGCATGAACCTCAAAGAGGAAAGGAGCAAAGCCACGAGCCAGGGTCCTGCCACAGCTTGTCCCCTACACCTGGACCACGAGAACCCCACGTGTCAGCTTGGGTACGGGTGTAAACAGACTGTGGAGATCCAGGCTGTGCTGCAAGCAAGCTCTGCTGCTACGAGTCCACTTGGAGTGGCCCCTGTCCCACTTCAGGGGACAACTGGGTGGGAGGCATGTGTGAGACTAGCCTGCAGTGTCAGAGGGGAGGCATGTAGTGGTTTGCTTCCTCTCACACATGCTCCGTGGGGCCAACATATAGCTCTGCCCGCACTGCCTCGCTCTGAGGATCCTAAAGAGCTCTACATGCCCTTTCATTAAGAAAGGCACCAAGCTGCCAACTTCGCCCCTTTGTCTGCTCCTTTCAGAACACAGCTGGCACAGCAGGAAAGACTGCAGCCCGCAGCAGTGTCCACAAGGAACAAAGCGTCACCACCAAGCAGCAAGTCAGGCTGAGTTTCCAGACATGGAAAGTGAACTGAGTACAGCTTTCAAGGGCGCAGAGCTGTCAGAAGTGACAGTATGGAGACGGTCTCCATTGACGTCACAGGAAAACAAATTCCCTTGTCCCAAGTGCTGCTACTTTCCCTCTAGGACAAGGCTGGGGGAATACCTGAGCCCTGTAAGGCTGGAGAAATCGTTTCAACTAGCCCAGCCAAGGCAACCACAGATGGGATTCAAAATTCAGTAACTGTACAGCAACTAACTATAAGTCCACATGTTTTTTAAAGATTTATTTATTCATTGGAAAATCAGATATACAGAGAGGAGGAGAGACAGAGAGGAAGCTCTTCCGTCCGATGATTCATTCCGCAAGTGACCGCAACGGCCGATGCATGCCAATCCGAAGCCAGGATCCAAGCCACTAGGCCACGCTGCTGGGCCCAAGTCCATAATTTTGTAAGGCCCACCAATGATGCTACAAAAAGCCAAATGACACTTGGTAGATAGGACTTCCTTACAGCACAACTGTCCCAAGGCCTCAGCACAACAGGATTAGACTTTCCGCATCATCCGTGTGTGGGACCAGAGCTTGTTCGGAGGGCTCGTGGCTCCCACGCCCACACAGTCAATCGTCTCTGAGACGGAAGTCTCAGCATGGTGCTAGCAGCCTCTTCAGTGCCAACATGCAGGCCACAATCTTATTACCACTTCAAAGAAGGCATAGTATTCTTTCCATTCATAATATTTATTTGACCCAATCCCTTCATATCGAGGGTGGCTCACACACATTCCCTGAATACGCCTCTGCCTCTGAGCTTTACATTTTGCAATGCTGACTGCTACCTACAGATAGAGGGATTTCCCAGTTCGGGCACCATAATGCTCACTAGGCCCCATACAATTCCTTTGGTCCAGAGCCTCACCAACTGAGCTACAAGAGAACAGGATAACACACTCAACCTCTCTGATAAACATACACCATTTTGATTCCACTCTAGACATCATTCTAACATGAATTTACAAAACAAAATCTTTAGGGGCAGGCATTTACGAAAGAAGCGTGTATCTCTAACTATCCCAGCTTGCTGCCAATGAGAGGTAGTAATGATGGCTGCACTCAAGTGAGCTGGGCTCCTGCTACCCATGTGAGAGGCGTGGCCAAAGCCCAGGAACTGGAGGCACCTGCGCAGCGAAGCAGTACATGGCAGCGCCCTCTGTTTCTCCCCACCCCCGAAAAAGGGGGATAGTGGTGAAGAGGAAGGTGGGCTACAGTAATTTGAACAAATCAGTTATAGAAAACTTACTGTGGTTTATAGTAAGTGGTTTCCAATGTGAGCTTCATTTATTCAGACTTAAGAAACTAGCAAAGTTATATTTTTGGGAATAAAAAAAAAAATCACTACTTCACCTAAGACGTAGGCGTGTCTTATCCTGGGATAAAAGGAATGGAAGCAATCCTTCAAAAATCCTAGGTCAGAAAGTGAGGTGGGGATGTAGAGGGAGCTAAGCTCCCTACAGGTGTATAGGAAGCAGGTATGCACAAAGGAGTTAGCAAGAAATGTAGACTGGGGTCCACACTGTGGGATTGCAGGTTAAATCACCACCTGCAAGTGCTGGCCCAACTCGTGTCTGCTCTGCTTCTGAAGCTTCTAACCTAGCCGCCTGCTTGTCTGCCTAGCAAGGTAGCCGAATGTGGCCAAGAGTCTGGACTCCTGTCACCTGCGTGGGAGACTCAGATGGGGTTCCTGCTCCTGGCTTTTGCACAGTCAAGGTCCACTATTGTTGTCATTTGGAGAATAAATCAGTAGATTGAACATCTCTTTCTATCTCTCCTTTTCTCTCTGTAACTCTTTCCAATAAATGAATCTGGGAAAGAAAAAGCAAAAATTCTAGATGCAAAGTATCCTGCAAATAAAGAAGGCTATGAAGCAGATTTCCTCTTCACACTCAGCTACAAGATCCTCTGAGTTGATAATTATTAAAATTACATCTTCCTAGGAAATTCCCAAAGGATTAGAGCAAAAGTAAGATGGGGATGCACCAAAAACGAGCAGAGTCAACTCTCAAACATACCCAGCCACCTGATGTGGCAAAGGAGCCAAATTAGGCAAGTACTGTGACATTCAAGATGATTTCACATTCAATTAGCCAAGAGCTGGTAGAGGCTACTCAGCAGGAATCGCAGGAGAGCCACGAATTTAGAGTGCATGAAAAGGGAGAGACAGGAGCCACGAGCAATACAGACTAGGACATCACAAACCCAAGCTTGTGCCTTGCACACCTCATTCTCCATCACTTAGCACCTTCATAGTTCCAGTTCCAATGAAGAAGAAATGACCAATCTGACACAAACAGAAAACACATACTCATTTGACAGTGGTCAGTAGCTGTCACATGCTACTGTGCATTAGAAGTAGCAGAAGAACATCTTCAAAAAGAAATTGCTGGGCCTTCGACTTGGCTGAGAGTTCACATTTGACAAGCTTCCAAGCGATAAAGACACTGCTGGTCTGAGAATGACTGGTGCAGGAAGACAAGGGATAAAATTCAAGAAAGTCAAGGGTCAACTGTTATCACTTTCTTGTTACGACTTTGTTGAGGACTGAAATGATATATTCAGGATTACAGTGTTCAAATGTACGCAATATTTTGGGGATTGTCTGAGG